TTGGAAAAATGCCATAGTCAATCTCTGAAGCTGTGTACACAGCATACATTTAAAGCATGCAGCTTCCTTCAGTGAATCCTAGGAACCACAGTTCACCCCTTAACAAAGCTGCAGCACCCTTAACAAACTACAGTTCCCTGGACTCAGGGGCAGAGGTAGTTTGCTTTAAATATTTGGTGTGTGTGCAGCCTGAGAGATGAATGAGAAGATACCTTGCAGGGAACTATCCTGCACACCTGAACCCAACAGCATTGCCCTCACATCAGCTGGTGAACTGCTTTAATGTTTGTGTGGTTTTTAATTGTGTTATAATGTCCTGTTTTAATTGTATCATAATTATTGTAAGACACTTTGGCATTTTTCAAGGAAACTGTGGTATACAAATATTTTTTAATAAATAAACATGAAGGATGGTTGTTGGGTGCTTCAGAAACTCTTTGCAGCCACTGCCCAGCAGCTAAGCCCCTACCTTACCTGCCCCACATCTGGCATCAGGTGTAGGGCGGTGTCAAGGCAGGAGTTGGCGCAAGTCAGCAATAACTCACAAAGTTAACTCTTCATTCAAAGAAGCAAACAGCACAGGCCTCGTGATCATGGCAACCCTTCCCAGCAGGTCTTGCCCCAATGAAGCTGTTGCAAGAACTGAAGGTCCCCACCTTCCCACTGCTCTCTAAGACTCCTCTCCCCAGCACCCTGAGGCTCCTTCACCATGCCACCCTTTGCTCTGCCCGCTTCATTCCTCTTCATCTTCTGGGAGATCAAGAGGGAGGGGAGCTGGTCACAGCCGAAAGGGGAGACTCCCTGGCTTCTTCGGCGGCCTGCCTCATTGCTGCTTCTTGGTCCGCTTCCTTTCCTGCCTCTGCTTCTGCCTCTGAGTCTGCACTGCTCTCTGCCACAGCCTCTTCCTTCTCACTAAACCCTGTTGCCTCTTCAGCTTCCAACACCACCTCCTCCGTTTGCTCCCTCTGACCCCTCATCCTTGTCCTACCACCAATCCCCTGGCTCTGAGCCGTCCTGTCTTGGGGGTTCCCCAGCTGGTGCCTCTCACCATTCCTCAGCATCCAGCCAGTCCACAACAGGTGGTGTAGCTCACAGGCTGGAAGATCCTCCATCCCTGAAATAGGGGTAAGTAGAGCCCTACTGTTTGCTTTCCACAAACAGACTCCATATAAAAAAACCCTTTGTATGTTTTGCCCCCTCTTTGGCTCACTGTAATTCCTTCTCTTGTCCAACAGGTGGAGTTTGTGCCACATCTGCCAAAGACAATCAGTGGGAAAATCAGAAGAAACGAATTGCGCAAGGCAGAGTGGGGGAAAGCTTAGATTTAGCTGTTTACTTCCACAGCGCCTGTTCTGAGTTTTATATTGGTTCCTTATGTTGCAAGATCATGCCATGCCAGCCTCTGTATTTAAATCCCAATGCTGCAGCTGTCACACACACACTGCAAAAAAAAAAAACCAACCCCAACCCTCGCATACCCACTCCCTAGGACTTTGAGGTATATTACAAGCAGTGCAGGATCAGGCATTTGGGGAATATCAGTGGCTGAGCATCTCCCTCCACCCATTTATATAAAATCCAAAAAGCATCTTGCAAGGTTGAGCAAAGCAAAGCGTAACTCTCATTCCAGATGCTGAGTCGCATGCAGAAAAGAACACAGTGTACTCTGGAGAAAATGCCAACACAAAGTTGATTCCAAAGCTCAGAAGCTTAAAAAATCACCATGAATCTGCAGGGAGCTACAAGAACAAGCTAGACATGTAATCAAGCATGTTAGCCAGTTCCTTTCCCCGCTCCCCTGTAGAGACAGAATGGAAGGGTCTTGATCTGTTCAGATCTCCTGTTGACCCAACAGCTTCCAACACACAGGATGATGGAAGTATCCACACCCAGGCCACCGAAAAAATCAGGGGAGTAAAAGTTGTTGTAATGGGGCCATAGTTGTCTCAAAGCAAGTGAACTGTCTGGGATTATAAATAAGGACCTTCACAGCACTGTTGACACATGCTCATTTCAACATTCCACATAGTTACTGGCAGCAAGCTTCTTTGGGCACCCCTGCTAGAAAGCCCTTCTAGAGACACAACCTGGCCGCAACCTAAATAAGTCCAGTCTCTATTGTGCATCAGGGTGATATAAACTACAAGGGATCCGGTGGTCACCATGCAAGAGTAGCATCCCCACCAAAGCTCCCACCAACGATGTACTATGCTGAATGATGCCGGCATCATTGAAGCAGGAGAAAAGGCTTTTAATTCAGCTGGACACAATATTAAATTCTTTTAAATCCCATTTAGTTCAATGGGAGAATTCAATACACACTGAACGTCAGTGGGGCCTGAAGCGTGTGATAGTGACTGATCATACCAGGAATATTTTTCGTTTCTGCAACAACCGGAGGCCCACATCTGTACTTAAATATCCTCTCCCCCATCCGTGTGTAAGCAAGCTCCTAGGATTATAGTTAAGAACAACTGAGCAGACTTTTAAGTATTAATATTTCTGCATATGTAACTTCCCTACAGTGCTTAAAGAGCTATCAAAATCAAAAAGCTATCAACAGGCAAAATCCAAACTGTTAAAACAAAAAATTGTTTTTATTTCATATTTTATTTCACTTAATTCAGATCATAAAAAATGGTTAGCTAAAAAATTCCAGCCCGGACCAATATGGGTTATCTCCTGGGACACTGAAAGCACTATAGGCACAGTATTTCATGATATTGGCAACCATTTTCAAATCATTGCCAGTTTTCTCATGCATTCAAGAAGAAAGTCACGGAACTCTCCTGCCATGCTATGTGTCAGGGAACTGCCATCGGTAGGAAGGGAGGTGAAAGGACTCAGACAGGTTGGAAGAGACTTAGCAGCTGAAGAGGAAACCAGCAGGGGGAGAGAAGCTGAACTGAGGGAAAGGGAGCTGGGGGATGGCTCAGAGATACTTCCAGCGAAAACAGTGGTGAGGTTTCCGGACCTCCTGTAGCGACACCCACTCCTCGCCGGAAACTGTCACGCAGAGAGTCCAGAAGACGTGTTTCCGTTAAGGAGCTTTTATGTTGGAAGCGATTACGAAAGCAACCACTGTCGGAATCTTCTAGTGACTAAGAGGAGCCATGTCAGAGGGGCTCAGTCACAGACAGAGGTTTGTGGACTTGAACAAACTCTGAGGGAATACGATTTTACGCACAAGCAGCTCATAATCCCATCACAGCATTCCGACAGTCTTTGAACGCAGCTTGTGCAGGAGAAGGCATAATGAGCAACCCAGCAGGAACCGGAGAAGCAGGGGCTGGAGCGGGTCCAAGCCTGGAAGAAAGGTACCGAGTGTTGGAGGTCCAGCTGGCGCTGCAGACGGCGAGGCTGGAGGAGAGGAGGGCTCAAGATGCAGACAAAAGGGAGAAAGCCACCCAGCTCGCCAGACAGGTACCAGGAGTGGTGCAAAAATTTGGGGGGGAGCCCAAAGACTATCATATCTTTAGGACAGAAAAGCAATATGCCCTCAATCTGCAGTTTGATGATTTCCTGATGAGGAATCACGAGTGGCTTTTGTGATTGGGCATCTTGAAAAGGGGGCGAGAGACTGGGTTAGACCCTGATGGCAGCTAATAGTGACGTCTTAAAGGACACGATGAAGTTCTTTCGCGCCATGGATCTGATGTTTTCCAGCGATATTGAAAAGGGAGTGGTGCGCAGACAGTTAATGGCTTGCAAACAGGGGAGCCGATCTGTACGTGAGTACTGGACTGAGTTCACCATGCTGATACACAGATTGGGGTGGGACTTATCGGCGGAACCCATTCAAATGCTCTTTGAAGAAGGGCTTTCTTCGGCTGTGAAAGATGAACTTTCCCGGGCGCCCAGGGCGGAGTCTATGGACCAGCTGACCAAATCAGCGCTGGCCATAGGAGCGCGCCAGGAGGCGAGAGCATTGGAGAGGCGGGAAGGGAAAGGGGAACGTTGGAAGGAGTTCCGCATTCCAGAAATTCCAGAGCCAACTGTCCCGCCGGCAGAGCCGATGGAAATCGGAACAGCGCGCGCGCGCAGTTTCAAAGCCCAGTGAGGGGGGAAAGAAGGATGGAAAAGGCGCCCGGAAATGCTATCTCTGCCAACAGCCAGGGCACTTTGCCAGAGTCTGCCCCCAGAGGAAGGAATGGCAAGGGATGGTGGGAGCTGTGGAGGGAAGAGAGGAAAAAATACCGGAGCAACTAAAAGCCAACGCCTGGCTGCCATTGTCGGGCACAGCAGCCAGGCCAAAGAGCAGTGAAAGTGCCCACTCCAGAACCTCCTAAACCCGCCCTAGTGATAGAAGTGACACTAGAGCTCCCAAACGGACACCCTCTAAAGATAAAGGCGCTGTTGGACTCAGGCAGCTCCTGCAATTTCATGAGCAAAGAGTTTGCAGCTGAACACCAGATACAGACGCTCCCTTTAAGCAACCCCTGCAGGTAACCACGATCGATGGCAGGGAGCTGTTGGGAGGAGAAGTCAGCTTGCAGACCGTCCCAATGATAATGAAGGTGGCAAGGCACACTGAACTGATAGCTTTTAATGTGGCCACCTTGGGAGGAGCTCCCATTATATTGGGGATGAGCTGGCTAGCGTTACATGATCCGCTGGTGGGCTGGCATCAGAGAGTGGTTTCTTTTGGGTCAGCACATTGTTTAGAACATTGCAAAGAGGGAAAGGTTTTGGCAGGGGCCCAAGCCACCTTAGCAGGGACTGAAGTGAAGGAGAACGTGAAGGTACCACGACAATACGCAGATCTCCGCGACGTCTTCAGCGAAAGGGAAGCTGACCAACTACCACCGCATAGAGCCTTTGACTGTCAAATCAATTTGCTCCCTGGGGCACAGCTCCCTGTGGGCAAGCTGTACGCCATGTCAGACAGAGAGATGCAGGAGCTAAGAGAGTTCATTGACAAGAACCTGAAGAGAGGGTTCATCAGAGAGTCCAGGGCGGTGGGGGCAGCCCAGTGTTTTTGTGGACAAAAACACGAACAAGCCGAGACTGGTGTGTGACTTCAGGGCCTTAAATGCAGTGTCAGAACCAGTGGCCTTCCCGATGCCCAGGATTGACGACATTTTGACAAGGGTGCGAAAGGGAAAGATTTTCACCAAGCTGGATCTAAGGGGGCGTACAACCTGATACGAATAAGGAAGGGGATGAATGGAAAACCACCATGTTCACCCCTTTAGGGGCATTTGAATACTTAGTTATGCCCTTCGGTCTACAAGCAGGCTCCGCAACATTTCAATCGTTTATGAACCACGTCCTGGGGCCGTTGCTTTACAAGAATTGTGTGGCCTTCTTAGACGACGTGTTGGTGTATTCTGAGAATGAGGAGCAGCATGTGAGAGACGTCAGAGAAGTGTTGAGCAGGCTGCAAGCCAACCAGCTGTGGGTGAAACTGGAGAAGTGTCAGTTTCATACCAAGGAGGTGGAATTCCTGGGGTATCGCCTGTCTGACAAGGGGTTGGCCATGGATCCCGGCAAGGTCCAGGCGGTACTGGAATGGAAAACACCCAAAACAAGGAAGGATGTGCAGAGGTTTTTAGGGTTTGGGAACTTCTATCGTAAGTTCATCCCAAACTTTGCCCACCTGACGGCGCCCATTACGGACTGTCTCAGCAGTAAGAAGAAGTTCGTTTGGACGGAGGAGGCGGAGCAAGCATTTGAGGAACTAAAAGGGCCTTCGCCTCGGAACAACAGCTCCTGCATGTGGATTTACAAAACCGATGAGAGTGGAAACTGATGCATCAGACAGAGCGGTTGGGGCGGTGCTTCTCCAGCCAGGGAAGGAGGAGTCAGAGTGGAGACCGTGTGCTTTTTTTCGCGAAAGCTGAACAAATCCGAGAGGAACTACACGGTGTATGACCGAGAACTACTAGCCATTCATGAGGCGTTCCGGAGATGGAGGCACCTGCTAATTGGCGCACAACATAAGGTGCAAGTGTGCACTGACCACAAGAACCTAGAGTATTGGAGGACGGCACGAGTGCTCAACCAACGGCAAGTGAGATGGGCTCAGGAATTCTCCAAATTTAACTTTGAGATTTGTTACGTGCCAGGCCCAGAGAATATTAGGGCGGACGCTCTCTCACGCAAACCTGAATATTTGGAGGGGGAGGGAGCACCCGAAGAGAGACATGTCATTCCAGAGGACCGCTGGGTGTGTGGGGCGGCATTGGTGGGACAAAGAGAACTGGTAGAAGAAACAGAGAATGATGAATACGCCCAGAATAAGCTTAGAGGTCTTAGGGATGAGGGAGAGGAATCAAGGGGTTTCGAGGAAAGAAATGGAGCTTTGTATTACAAAGGGGCACTGTATATCCCTGAAGGAGACTTAAGGGGGAGGGTACTCAAGCAGTTGCATGACAGCCCCACGGCGGGGCATTTTGGGCAACACAAAACCATGTGGTTGGTCACCAGGGAATTTTGGTGGCCTAAGGTGAGGGAGGATGTACGTGAGTATGTAAGAGGGTGCGAGCAGTGCCAGCGAGCCAAAGGGGAAAGGCGGGCGCCGGCGGGGCTATTAGAACCCTTACCAACACCAGAACGACCTTGGGAGGCAGTGTCGATAGATTTTATGACTGATCTGCCGAAGTCCAAAGGGAAAACAGCCATCATGGTGGTGGTAGACCTACTAACAAAGATGTGCCACTTTGTAGCTTGCTCGCATGCAGTCACGGCGGAAGAGACAGCAAAGTTATTTGTAGAACACATTTTTAGGTTGCACGGGGTGCCATTGAGGGTGGTCTCAGACCGAGGAAAACAATTTACTTCCAGGTTCTGGAGGAAGCTCATGAGCTTACTGCAGGTGGAGGTCAACTTTGCGACTGCCCGGCACCCTGAAACCAACGGGCAGGCGGAAAGAGCAAACGGTGTCCTCCAGCAATACCTGAGGTGTTATGTCAATGACAGAGAGAATGACTGGGTAGAAAAGTTGGCGCTGGCGGAATTTGCCTACAACAATGCCGAGAATGTGTCCACAGGGATGAGCCCCTTCTTGGCTAATTATGGGTGTCATCCCAGGGCTTTCCCAGGGGGAGAAGGGGAGAGATGGAGCGTACCGGCAGCCGAGCATTTTGTAGAAGAAATGGAAGCAATCCACCGTCAGCTCCAACTCAACTTAGAAAGGGCGAAGGAAGAATACAAGAGGCAGGCAGACAAGAACCGAAGGGAAGGTGAAACCATAAGGGTTGGAGAGGGTGTGGCTGTCAACCCGAGGGTTGCCGTTCAAAGGAGGTTGTAAGAAATTAAGACCCAGGAGGTTGGGTCCCTTTGAGGTCATTCAACAGGTCAACCCAGTGGCTTTCAGGCTCCGGTTACCCAACCACATGAAACTGCACCCAGTATTTCACAGGTCGTTACTGTCACCGTACGAGGGGGGACGAGAAGGGATGGCCACTGGGACCGGTCATAGAAGAAAGAGAATGCAGCAGTCATGTGGCAGAAATCCTTGATGCCAGGTGGAAGGGGAATCAGGTGGAGTATTTGGTAGCGTGGGAAGGAGAACCGGAGTCAGAAAACACGTGGGTAATGGCCAAAGATATCAATGACGAGGTATTGATAGAAATGTTCCATCAAAGGTTCCCGCGGAAACCTCAGCCTGTGGAGAGGTTCCGGAGGGAATACTTTGGGACCACTGAGGAGGAGGAGGAGTTGGAAGGATTCCCAGAATCGGAAGGGGAAGGGGAGATGGACTCGGAGGAGGAGGAGTGCTTCGAGACCAGGAACCGCAACAGGTGGAGAGAAGTGTTCGAGACATCGGAAGATGAAGGAAGTTCATTCCGGGTTTTGCCTCCTCACCGCCCGTAGAGGAGGGGGCGAGAGGGGGTGAAGGGGGCCCTGGAGGGGAGGTGGATGTCAGGGAACTGCCATCGGTAGGAAGGGAGGTGAAAGGACTCAGACAGGTTGGAAGAGACTTAGCAGCTGAAGAGGAAACCAGCAGGGGGAGAGAAGCTGAACTGAGGGAGGTGAAAGGGCTCAGACAGGTTGGAAGAGACTTAGCAGCTGAAGAGGAAACCAGCAGGGGAGAGAAGCTGAACTGAGGGAAAGGGAGCTGGGGGGATGGCTCAGAGATACTTCCAGCGAAAACAGTGGTGAGGTTTCCGGACCTCCTGTAGCGACACCCACTCCTCGCCGGAAACTGTCACGCAGAGAGTCCAGAAGACGTGTTTCCGTTAAGGAGCTTTTATGTTGGAAGCGATTACGAAAGCAACCACTGTCGGAATCTTCTAGTGACTAAGAGGAGCCATGTCAGAGGGGCTCAGTCACAGACAGAGGTTTGTGGACTTGAACAAACTCTGAGGGAATACGATTTTACGCACAAGCAGCTCATAATCCCATCACACTATGCAACAACTTCATTCCATTTAATGTGCTGAGCTTGCTTAATTTGTTGTAGAACTTCTACCTCTTTACTTTCTGATTGATGTGGGTTTATGTTAGCTTCTGTCTTTGATATAAACTTCTGACTTTTTCCATAGGCTGCGTACCAGCCTCAAGTATGGTGGTAATGCCCCAAAGTAAACAAAACATGTTTTGACAGAAATACAGCATCTAGATAAGAAAAGTGCTTCAGTTTTACTGTGAAATTTAAGCTGCTATACTGGAAGGAAGTCAACCTCCAGAATTCCAAGCCACACTTTTATTGTACTTCACTAATAAAAAATCAGTATGTATATAAAACTTAAAACCATGATACCTTCTTTATGCACTATTTCTTTTTAAAAGCAAGTGTTCAAAAGCCTATGCTACCGATTCTCATGGAGCATGCATGTGTTTGCAGTTATCTAGTAACGGAGACATAATCTGTGATAAGCCTAGAATATAGAAACAGCAGGATAACTTTAAAAGGCAAGACCAACTACTGATCCTCATTTGGTTTATCCTCAGCAATACTGTCAAAATCCTTTCAGGGATGCCCATCCTTTTACTTTTCACTTTAGAAGCTTATAGACAGCCCATTTGCAGCACGATTTGGAAGAATATTCTAAGATGGGGAAACAAAGCTAATAGCCTCTTACATTTGTGATGGTGTAAGACATTTTTCTCCATGAAGGAGGACGTCAAGGATGTAGTCCTTGGCTAGGTTCGCATAGAGGGTCGGAGAACGAGGGTCTTCTTTTCAGAATTTCCTGATGAACTGAAACTGCGTCCAGGACATGGCAGCCCCAGAGCACTGGAGGTAGGGAGTGTGAGCTTCTCCTTTTGAAGAGTATGCTCCCATATGAAATAACCGCAGCCCTTTCTATTCCCCGCCTGCTTTCCAACTGGGCAGCTATAGAATGCTTTGCCATGATTCGGACCACCATTCGAAACATTTAGCCTTCTGGCCCTTCGACCGCATCTGCACAAAGGAGGGGTCACTCTCCCAGTCTCTGCAGCCTTTAAAGGCTGGTTTAAGTTGACTGAGGAGTTTAAGATGCCGGAAGGGACGCGGTAGGAACCGAGCCTCCTGACTAACTGGGAGGTACTAGGCGTTGCGCCTTTGTCTTCATAAACTATAAAGGGTGGTTTCTTTGCTGGAGGAACTGATTTTGGACTGGAAGGCTTCCTTTGTGTGCTTCAGATGACAATCTGAAAGGGGTTCCATTTGACACATCAATGGAAGCAGCACTTGCTTTTGCAGTGGGAAGCTTAAACGCAGAAGTATCTGAGAACTTATTTGGGGCTATGCTAATGTTATAAATCGTAGTGCTGGGGCTTTTGTACACAACAGACTTGGGGAGTTCCAGATTCAGAGTAGCATCCGCAACACTTTTAGATCCCAAGTTCATCGTGTGCGACTCATTCAGATCCATCTTCTCTTCAACGGTTAATGAACTCTTATGGTTCGGGTCATCCTCCTGCTGCAAACATCCCAAACTTTCATCATCTTGCGATGCTGGTATTAAAGCTACATCCTCCCAATTGGCCAGCGCTGATAAACAATCTGGAGTGGTACTTATGTCTATATCTGAAATACTGACGGAGGAAAGAGTGGTTGAGACTAAAACCAGTCCTGGATTATGCACTGAAGAATTAGAAATTGGGTGCCTGTTATTTAGCCCACTCTGGATGCCCAAAGAGTTATGCGAAGGCTGAAAAGAGCCAAGAGGGGAATTGAGCCTTTCAATCAAGCAGCTTTGGACACTACTATATCCATCAGTCTTTGGGGCATTTCTCGACAGAACATGGGCGTTTCTATGCAGATGAACAGGACTGAACTCTTGCTGTTGGTTTTCCTTGTTGTTTTTAATTCCTGTGGTAACTCCAGCATTTTGCTCTCATCCAGACATGACATTCCTGCACCATCATTGCTTCCCAAAGGACTTCCTTCAGTAGGTTTCGGAGACAAAAATCTGGCAATGGAATTCTTCACAGGAGGTGCCTAAAGAATCCATAAACAAATAAGATATTGCGGGAACCGCAGGAAAGAGATGTCAACAGCCAAGTGAGAAAATGTGCCTCAGAATCCTCCAGGAAGAAGATCAAGTTCAAAGTCGTTTCAGCAAACTCTTACTGTCTTCTTGGCACATATGTCAAGAAGAAAAGCCACTGACCTTATCCAAAGATTTAGTGATTTTCATCACACACCCATCGCAGATCATCTTCCATGCAAGGCGGGCAGTATTGCGGGAATCATCCAGCCCTTGGGAAAAAGAGATATGGTGCTGTTGTTGACCAAGTCAGGCAAGTTAACTATTCTGTACTCACACAACCCTTTCTCACTGCTTAACAAAAGAACCTGTAGGGATACAGCTATGCACAAAGCACCCTTGTATAAGAAGACCCTAGTATAAGTATAAAATTTGGTGATCTACACATGGCAGGTAGTAAGTCCAGGGACAATCAAGTTCCACTCCCTGCTTGGTCCTGAAGTGCACTAAGTGACTGAGTCACTCTGCCTCCCAGTCCGGTCCAGCCCACCCCACAGGGTTGCTGCAAGGATAAAAACAGAAGGAGGTAGGGAACAGTAGGTACTGTCCTGAACTTGTGTGTGTGTGTGTGTGTTTAATACTATTTTATTAATTTTTACAGTAATCACATAAAAATAACTATACTATGTCTACAATCCATAACAACTTCCAAACATGGGATTTCTAAAATCCCTTGACTTCCCTCCACTCCCCTTCTTGGTTCTTTTGTTTTACACATCCATTTTTGTTCGTGCACATCCATAATATCTTAAATTCACAATAATTTCTAGTTTTATACATTATTCATCATATTACAAGTGTTTTTCAAAATTCTGCTAATGTATGATATTGTACACAATGTTTTGGAAATATGCAATAAATATTTTTCACTTTTCCAAATTATTGCCCTGAACTTTTTTCAAATAATTTAATAAATTGTCCTGAACTTTTTGAAAGAAGGGTGAAACAAAAGTGGAATAAAACTCATTTAAAAGGATAAGAAAAACCAGCATTCTTGGTTTTAGAGCATGTCATTATTGAACAGTTTGGGTTATATTCCATGGAGTTTGTCTCAGTTTCGGCAGAGCTTGGAACATGCCTAAGAACTTGCTACTGATAACTAGAAATATTTCCATACATACACACATACACACTTAAAAATTCACTCACCAGAATGCTCCCGTCCTGCAAATATGATCCCCACATCCTGCAAAGCACCGTTTAGCCCACGTGGCTTCCGACAGTAAAAGAGCTAAGAGGAAATAAAGGTAAAGACATTAGCTGCTGTGCTCTGCTCAGCTCAAATCATGGCAGGTGCTCATAGGCACAGCACAAAATTTAGTTCTTCATATACGCCTTTCTTTAGCACTGGTGTGGGAAGCCTGTGGCCCTCTAAACATTGCTGAACTACACCTCCCATAATCCCTGACGATTGGCCATGCTTGCTGGGGCTGATGGAAGCTAGAAGTTCCACAACATTTAGAGGGCCAAAGGTTCCCCATACCTGCGTTAGCAAGTCAAAGAACTGAAAACACTCCCATCAGTGCTCTGATTACTAAATATTCATGAGCAATCATAAAATGAATCTGTATTAAGTGATATCTATCATTTTAAAAATAATAAATATACTACATTTATAAATGCAATAAGCATATAGACACTTACAACTTTAAGATAAGCTACTGCAGAGAGATGACCCAGAGTCACCTATGGAACTGAGTTTGGGGATTTTCTTAACAAACTAGTTTGGGTCAGGGGATGGTTTATTGTTGTACATTGTTTTAAATGTTTGTTTTCCTTCTGGGATTGTACCCCCAAGTGTGTTTTATAAGCTGGTCTCCGACCGTACTAAATTATCTATCTATCTATCTATCTATCTATCTATCTATTAATTATACTACATAGATCATATCCTTCCTCCAAAAAAATAAATAAATCACTGTCCCATCTTACTCACAGGGCTGTCTACCACCAAAGGCCCTATGACAAGGAATAGGAGACCAAAGGAGATAGGCAATGATGACCTCAGGTGACCTCAGACTGTTCCCCCCTCCCTGCGCACAGTGACTGCACTATGGAAGGCAGCCTGGTGACTTGTTATGCTTTTCAGGCATCTGGTTGGCTGCTGGGAATGGAATGCTGGACAACATGGGCCACTGTTCCGATCACAGCTCCTCCTGTGTTCTTATTGCAACCTTATTAAATTATTTTATCCCCCCCCCAATGTATTTCTTTACTTTACTTCCTTAAAGGTGGGATATGGATAATATAATAAATAAATAATACAGATAGGACCAGAGATGGGTCATATACCTAGGAGGGCTATGTAAACATGTGATCTTTATGTCACCAGCGAAGGAAAACACTTAATAAAAGAAAAGAAGAGAGATGGAAAGGAGTAAAACAGATGGGAGGTTTGAACTAACATGACAGTATTATAAGCAATGTAGAAATGCAGCAAAAGTTTATTTCATCTGGCCAATGATCTAGCTTGCGGAGATGTAGACAGGCTGCCAGTTACACCATGACCACGGCAATCCAAACAATAAGCAGCTCTCAGCTAGCAAAATTGGCCATTTCCGCATTCCTTTCATGAATATTACACATGCACAGTCTGATCTCACCTTGTAAGTTGCCCGGAGATCAATCCAGGAGTTTAAAACATCTGGTTTTCTCAGCTGCTTTCTTTACACTCGTATTGCAAACACACACCCAGGTCCCAGTCTGTAGAACAAACAAACTGTCATAAACCTTTCATGTTTTATGCTTTGTTATTGTTTCTAGCTTTCTTCCGTGTGGAATAGTAACTGTGTCTTATCAGACAGCCATTCCTCGCCGGGCTAGAAACATGAGGAATTAAAGGAGGAAAAGATACCTAGGGACTAAGTCCGCTCTATGGTGTGATCGTGAAATGCACACATAATTGCTGAGGAGTACGCAATCCACAACTGTGCATTGCACCTCCCAACTCAGAGTTTTGTGTGTATTTTATCCAAGAAAAACCTCATTTTTCTTTTGTTTTCTTAAACCAGTTTCTAGCACATGTTGCAAATACAGCCTTGAAAGATTTTTTAAAAAGGAAGTGGAAAAGCAAAGTCAAGGGGGTCAAATCACTTCAAACCACTTTCAGTGTAAGAAATCAGATTTTTAAAAAGGTACTGTGAATTACCTGACCATGTAACAAAAGCACATAATTTCCCTTCCGAAGAATGACCTGAACTGAAAACAATGTTTTTTTCCTTCTGCATTTTTTGAATCCATTTAGAAAACTGAGACAGGCATATATGAAGAGGACGCCTTCATCAACTTGGTTCTTAATAGAAGAGAACAAGATACATTTAGTATTTTTGACAGTATCCAAGTGTTGCTTTACACTCAGCCTTAACACAATTCATTGTCAGGCATAGTGAAACAGGGTCAACAACACCTCAATGGTTTCAAAACCAACTGGAAACTATGAGCTTAGCTTGCAAATTGACTGCAACATGAAACAATAAAATTGTACCTGCTTTATGCCAGTTAGCTCAGTGCAAAATTCAGAGAGAATGGGATGTTCCTGAGGCTGCACGTACATGTGGAATTCAGATTCAATCTCTCCATTCAAGGTGTTTAATAGAACTGCTGGAAATTCAACTAAAGAAAGTACATTTTCATTCCAAATCAGGTTTATTTTAAAGAAATAGCATTCTTAAAAATGCAGTTTTACAGATGGAGTTGAAGAGTGCTGGGTCAATGGTTTAAGCCCCCCGCCCCATTTAAATTCCACTTGTTGGACAAAAATACATCATCCTTTTCTCATTTGGACCTTCCTAGTGGAATCCCACAAGGTTCCATCTTGTTCCCTCTCCTTTTCAAAGTGTGTATTAAATCCTTGAATGAGGCATCGTCAATACACGGAAGACATCTTCTCCTAAGCTCCATGCTCTTGGTTCTTTAGTAACCCCAATCCAATAAACTCTAATTTATAAGCAAAGAGTTTAACCAATCACAAGCTGCCTTGTTCTCTCAAGAAAGTGCTGTGCATTCAACTGGGGTGCATGGGTCACATTTCCCAGTACTATAGGGTTTGGGGAAGCCAGAGCATAGGTCATGCTGAATCCTTCATGTTCAAAGAAGTCTCACTCATAAAGCTTTGAAATGTGGCCAATAGCAGCAATGGCCAGAGACTTCTTTGCATGAGCTGCTACATCTAAGGCAGTGGTTTTCAACCAGTGTTGTATAGCACCCTGGGGTGCCTTGAACGATGGTCAGGGGTGCCGTGGGCAACACTGGCCTCTGTCCCTCTTTCCTTCCCTCCCTCTTCTGATGCCCTCTTAACGTCTCTGACTCCCAAAATGCTTGCACACCTGTTTGTTGCAGCACAGCCCTGGCTACAGGCTCCCCAGGTAAATGGTACCTCTGGAGCTGGCCAGGGGGTACTTCCCATGCCCCTATGGGGCAGTGTGAGGAGACACCTCTCTTTGGGGTGGGGGGGCAGCTCAGAGACCAGGGGTGGCAGCAGCAGCTATCTGAAGGACTCCCAAGGCGAGGAGAGGGGAGAGGAGGCTGAGGGAACATTCCACAAGGGAGGGTGTTTGAAAAAGGTGAAAGGCTGCCAGCTCTGCAGGCAAGGGGTGACATAACTGGGTTCCTGAGCCCTACAACAGTGCCACAGAAAGGATGTAGTTGGTCAAGGGAGCCATAGACTCAAAAAGGTTGAAAACTTCTGATAGTAAGAGGTGTGCCCCAAATACCAGGGGCTGTTATGTTCCAGCACCCACCTCCAGTCATTCATGTAACTTAAGTATCAAAATATGAATACTTTACATGTAGAGTTTGGGATAGGTAGGTTGGGAATTATACACAAATAAACTGCATGAGCAATGTTTTGATAGCTCCATTATTAATTTACCGATCACACAGAAGCAGTTCTCAAACAATATTACTAAATCTCCACTTACTGATTTCTTGAGTGTAACATTTTCTGCCTTCTTTCCAGCACGTAGACTCAAAATCAATAATTATTAAGTAGTCAAACAATTGCCCTACAAAATCAAGTGAGGATTGCGTTATTTGCGAGAGTATAAACAGCAATTTTGCTGTGCAATTCAGACACAGTACTCACTTAGTTTGGGTTTGCCATGATTCTGGCCACCGGGCGATGTTTTAGAAATTCTTCTAATAATGCCAAGCTGCCTACAAAAATAAAAATTCAAACACATACTGAAAGAATTCATCTCTCAATAGCAGAACAATATTTTGGGGGGTAACCAAGTGATCGAGATTCAGGCCTGAGGCTCCCGAATCCCTTGAGAAAAAGTGTGGAGAACAGTTGGGACAACTGGTAATGAAATGCAAGCGGCCCAACCTGCAACCTATTTACACAAAGCTCAAAAAAATGGGATAAAGAGGGAGAGAACAGGGGGGAAATGGGAGCTTGTTGCAGACATCTGGCAGCATCTTTTCTTCTCACCAGCTCCCTCCACCCCCTTATTTTAAACATCCAAACTTTCCCAAGGGAAAAGAAACCCACAGGGCTTGTTAACCAGGGTGGTGCAGTGGTTAGAGCACCAGACTAGGGCCTGAGAGAGCAGGGTTAGAATCCTCACTCAGCCACGGAGCTCCCTGGGTGACTTTGGGCCAGTTACTGCCTCTGAACCTAACCAACCTCACAGCGTTGTTGGGTGGATTAAATGAATAAAGGGGGGGGGGCACGTGCGCTACCTAGAGCTCCTTGGATAAAAAGGCAGTGTATAAATTAAATTAAATTAAATTAAATTAAATTAAATTAAAAAATCAATCAATCAATCAATCAATCCGAGAGCCCACTAGGGAAATGGAGGAAAAGAAGGATGCAGCGCCTGTTGTAGGCCTCACCTGGCCAACTTCTTCGTCGCCATGGCTACGGCCTCCCACCCCCATCCCCCAACGCTCCACGCTCCCCACTCCTCTCCGTTTCCGGCCTCCGTTTTGAACAGCCCGCGGATCCCGCCTCTTATCGATGCCGTCGACAAATCGGCTACTAGGGCCTGGTTCCTTCTGACTTCCGGGGAGCTCTCCGTTCTTCTCTGGAGTCCCCGCTCGCGACTTCTCCAACAGCCTATACGGCGCTCCGAGAAAGCGGGTGAGTGGGTGAGTAGCCTAGGCCGAAGGAAACGATTGCCGATCTGAAGCTTTTCCTCGATTGGGAGCTCCGCTCTCCACCCGCGAAGGCAAACGGAGGAAGAAGGTGAGCGTCTCTCCTGCTTAAACGACCGCCGTTCTTTGAATGGCGTTTCTGTGTCCCCGGGGGGGACGGGAACGGGAGAAGCGGCTATGCGGGGTTTGCCTTCAGAGGGCAGCAGGAGGAGGAGGAATCCCGCCCCCCCTCCACGGATAAACGCACATGGCTGCAGGTCTCCCAGCGGTCTACTCTGAGTAGTGCTAACATTGGCTCTATAACCTGCAGTCTTGAGTCTCCTCTCCATTATTGCACACGCTGTGGGTGTCCCTGCACCTGCTCCATGCTATTTAGGCTGCCATGCACACCATATGCTTAATCCTGGGAGCTGTAGTTTGTTATGGGTGCTTGGAATTGCACACTACGGTTCCCAGGATTTGGGGAGGGGGAATCTGTTTTAATTGTATGGTGTGTATTACAGCCTTTTCACGACACAACATTTATTTCCTCCCTTTATTATTATTATGCATGTCATACCCTCGCAACATTTCTCCGATGAAAATAGGGACCTCCCGTTCCATAATGATAATTTTAGTATTTATACCCCACACATCTTATTGGGTTGCTCCAGCCACTCCCTATACAGGATGGCTTTCAGATGGTTTGGGGGTTGGATGGCTCTATACCCTCCAACATTTCTCCAATGAAAATAGGGACATCCTAAGGAAAAGCGGGACATTCCAGGATCAAATCAGAAACCAGGACTTCTCTAAATCAGGGATGCCCCTGGAAAATAGACACTTGGAGGGTCTGGCATGTGCTTGGCTCCACTAGAAGTATGCTTGTTCTATAATGGCTTCCCCTTCAGTTGTGGATTGGATCTAGAATAACATGACAATCCTAACCATGTCTACTCAGAAGTGTGTCCTGCTCAAGTCAGTGGGGTTTCCTCCCAGGTATGTGGGAGCTTTTGTCCTGCTGAAATCATTGGTACAGATTATTCATGATTTACTTTTAAGTGCCATTGTTAATTTGGGTGTTCTCAAAGGGGAGGGCCTGCAACAGCAGTTTGGGGGGGTGCTTCTGTTTCTAGGGCACCCCATTTCATTGCCCCTTATTGAAGGCAATGGAGAAGCTGAAGACACCAAACTCCCCACTGCTTTCAGTGTGGTATAGGTTGCAATCATTGGCACATCTCCTAGAGAGTAAGCCCAATTAAGTTCAGCAGGACTTCTGAGTGCACAAACGTAAAACATAGAACAAACGTATACTGTCTTGTGACCATAAATAGCTTAACTGGTTGGAACCATTGTGTAAATGCTCCCAGTTACTATTATTTATTAAATTCGTATACCACCCTCCATGCATAGATCTCAAGGCAGCTCACAACACAAAAATACAAGATAAGAAAACACACACAAAAATGAAAGAACGAAAACAAAACAGCAGCCTCTACTCCCTCCCACAACACAGTTGCACCATGCTGAAACCCATTTAAAATGTGGCAGAACATTGCCCTGGTTTCCTCCCAAAACACACAAACTTGTAAATAAGAAAGATGTATTTATTCAGACAGCTAGCAGTCCAGGCTCAGCAGCTAACACAGGACTCAGGAGTTCAAGAGCAGGGCAAGAAGTTCAGAACCAGACAGAAGCAACGAAGATGTCACAACAAGTTTCACCACCCATCCTACCAAGCTTTTAAAGCTGAGACGTGGTGTGCTCACTCAGGAGACTCTTGCCTTGTGGGGATGTTGAGATTGAGAGTGTGCTCTCTGGTGGGGTAGATGGGTCTGCTTCCATCTGTGAAGGCAGCTCCTGAGTCTAGATGACAAGCACCTTCCTGATCAGTTGCCTCTTCCTGTCAGCCACAACCCCCTCAGCAGATCAAAACCCTATCCAGTGGTTGCCAGACTTGGTCCTCCAGATGTTTGGGACTACAACTCCCATCATCCCTAGCTAACAGAACCAGTGGTCGGGGATGATGGGAATTGTAGTCTCAAAGCATCTGGAGGGCCGAGTTTGGCCACCACTGTTATGCAACCTCCACTGAGGCTTTCTGCTCCACATGTGGGTTGGAGGGGAGAGTTCGCATCCCTTCTTCCTCTTCCAAAGCAACTGTAGTTGAGTGAAAAGAGGAGATTTGCCTGCCTCCAACCCAGGTTCCCACAATTCACCCCACCACGCCATTTCCTCCTCTTCTGTCTGTGCCTGCCAAGGGATGCCAAATCGTGTTGTGGGGTTCATTATATTTTGTTCAAGTTAAATCTGTTTCCAGCTATTTTATTTCTTGATTCTTCTTTTTGGCAGATACAACACACATACACACCCCAAGAAAAAAACCCCAACCCCATACTGATGGACAAAATGGATACAGCAACCCATGTCATGAAAAAGAAACGGCCCCATGAAGATAATGAAAAGACAGAGAAGGTTAAAAAGAGAAGGAAGGTTGATGAAAGCGATGTTTGCCAAAACCAGCAGAAAGCTAAAAGCGATGTAAGTGTTCCTGCTATTGCAGGAGATCTGCTATCAGTTCTGTGGATGAGCCCCTCAGTCTCCAATCTCAGCAGAAAGTAACGTTGTGTACTAGAGTAGACCCATTGGAAATAATGACCCTACATTAGTCACACCTATTAACTTCAGTGGGTTAACTCTGAATAGGACTAGCGCTGGATACAATCCAGTGCTTTTTTTACCAGCTTTGACTGTTGACCTGGCTACAGCCATTTCTGGACCAGAGTAGCCTGACCACAGTTTTCAGGGTGCTGGTCACCTCCATACTGGATTACTACAATGCACTCTTTGCAGGGCTTCCCCTGAAGTTGTCCCGGAAACTGCAGCTAGTACAAAATGCAGCAGCCTGAATGCTCACTGGGGCAAAATTCAGTAGAGCTCTTGTAAAAGGCCAGACTTGATCAAAAGTGGCCATCATCTAAAGACAGATCACCTCCAGGCCATGTTTGTGTGAAGCAAGTGTGCTCCTCCCTGAATTCTGCAAAATTAAACTCAAGCTTCTGGCCCTCATGAAATCAAGACAAGATTGAAAGCACTTTGTGGGTCAAGTTTTAAAATCTTATAAACCGAAAGGTAGGAAAGCAGGCAGCCAAGTTCCCCCACCATTTCTAACCCTGCAAGGTCGTTTTTGAGAGGATGACTCATGTGTTTTTTCACAGTCAGGGTTGTTAACTTCCCAGCGGAGGATTTTTGCAAATGGCACGTACAACTGCAGTCGCTTGGCATTTGCTGTGTTTATGTAAATAGCTTCCAAGTGATGTCAAGTTATGCATAATCAAAATACTGTATGCTCACTCTGTCTTCCCTGCTCGCTCATTTATTTTCTCTGTGCCCTTTTTGTAAGAGACAAGTCGTCGCCTTCTGGAATCCATTCAGTGGCAGCTCAGACACTTCAACGCTTTCTGTCTTTGTAAACAATCCTGAGCCGGTTCTCTCGTTCTTTTCAGGAGAAGCAGCCCCGCTTGTCTGCCAAAGTGTTTGGAGAAGACTCTGAAATCAGCTACGACCAACTGTACAGATTCCTCAAGTATTCTGCTTTGGGGAAACGCCACAATGCAACTCATCCTAGGTAGTCACTTGTCGCCTTCCAGGTGTTGATGGGCTCCCAACTCCCATGCTCTCGTTGAGGTTGAGAGCTGGAGTCCAGCAACATCCTGGAGGACTGAAGGCTGCCCATTCCTGCTATATGTTCAGTCTAGGAGTCCATCCTACATGCTCCAACAGGAATAGATCTCACTAAAGACCATCACCTAATGCCATTCTCATGTGCTCTGATGAGCTGTGAGCCATGCACCTTTGACGCTTCCATTAGCCTGTGTCAAGTTTGTGGCACCGACATAGATCACATCAGCACCATGCATTTAAAACACATGGCTTCCTCCAAAGAACCCTGGGAATTGTAGTTTGCTCCTCGCAGAACTGCAATTGCCAGCACACACAGTTCCCAGGCATCTTTGGGGAAAATTAATGTATTTTCATTGCGTATTGTGGATGTGAATTTAGTCCAGGGAAGGCTTCCGTTCAGATCCCCTCCTGGCTACATCAGAACCCCAGGATGGCCCTGCAGGATCAGGCCCATCTAGTCCAGTAGGAATATTGATTTCCTTTGTTTTGTTGAACAGATTGATTGATTTGCTTGATTTATTACAGTTTTGTTCAAGAATCCCAAAGAAGATTACATAATAAATGCAGCATAAATCATATGGGATAATTAATGGCCTTGTGGAGAAAGTAGCAAAATTTCTGAGAGATGCCACATCACTGTAAGACTCAAGAGGCACTTTTTAACCTTAGTTTTATCTTAAAGCATCTCCTTCTATGAACAGATGCCAATTTTACGCTTTGACTTAAATACTTCTGCATCCTGTGCATGCCAGTAAGTGAGATTGATGGAGAACACCACAAATGCAGCGTGAATCATCTAGAACAACTAACAAATCATCAGTGAAACAATTGCAGTCTATAAAACACTGTTAACAAAGCAGCAACTAAAAAATAAGCTGGACTCCACAATTAAAGCAAAAGTCGTGTTATGCGATCAACAAATCAGTACAGCATTTATAAACTAGGAAGCAGCAGACTAACACCAGGCCTCAGACTGCTTTTCCAAGTTCCTTGCCTTTCAAAAGCAGCTTTGCCATGCACTGTTGGGAGGGTATATTGTGAGGGGTGTGGTCAGGAGAGAGTCCTGGGGGCCTGGTAGAGGTACTTGGGGGCCGCATTCAGCGCCTGAGCCTGAGATTCCCCAGTGGTGCTACAGGCCTTCGCTGCTCTGAATGAACATTCTCCTTCCTCCTTAACCATGGTCAAGAGGGGCAAAGCATGCAGAAAGTTCCTGGTTCAGTTCTTGGCATTGCCTTAAAAAAAAAAGGCTCACACAGCAGGTGGTAGGAAGATCTCTTTGACTGAGAACTGGAGAACCTGTGCCAATCAAAGTAAAGGGAGTTGGACTAAAGAGGTATAAAGAGCATTTACAGTCCGGCGCCTGGACACTGAGGTCCAGCGCCGAGAGCCTTCTGGTGGCTCCCTCGCTGCGAGATGCCAAGTTACAGGGAACCAGGCAGAGGGCCTTCTCGGTAGTGGCACCCACCCTGTAGAACGCCCTCCCACCAGATGTCAAAGAGAAAAATAACTACCAAACTTTTAGAAGACATCTGAAGGCAGCCCTGTTTAGGGAAGCTTTTAATGTTTAATAGGTTATTGTATTTTAGTGTTTTGTTGGAAGCTGCCCAGAGTGGCTGACGGTATAAATAAATTATTATTATTATTATTATTATTTTTATTTTTATTATTATTCTGTGTCCCAGCGCTGCATCAACAACATTGACCAGGACTGGAAACCAGGTCCTTGTCCCTAAAATACCCAGGACCAAGGAACCTGCTTTATACTGAAACAGCACGCAAGAAGGGCTAGTGGGGTTAGGCCCTTCTGCCCATCTAGTCCAGCCTCCTGTTGTCACATTGGCCAACCAGATGCTTATGGGAAGCCCACAAGCAGACCACGATCACAGGATGACTGGTCTAGCAAGCTCAGTATTGTCTACTCTGACTCTCCAGGGTTTCAGACAGGACCTAGAGATGCCTGGGGATTTGAACCCGGGACCTTCTGCATGCAGAGCAGATGCTCTGCCACTGAGCTACAGACCTTGCCCCCCGATTACCGTGCTTTCTCGCCGCCCACCCAGAGAAAGGCTCACCGGAGTGGTAATGGCTTTCCCTCTCCCCCTGCTTTGTGGTGCAGCTGGTGCCGTGTTCACCACCGGAAGCATCTGGCTGGCATAGTGGTGGTGGTCCTGCGGGACGTCGGTCAGCTCCACTTCGACCGCTTCTACCTGCAGTTCAAGCATCTCCGAAGGATATTCAGACATGTAAGTTCGCCAGCCGTAATCCTTGAGGCATCTGGGGAAGCTCCTGTAATCGGGTCAGAGCTCCTATAATCAGTTCCAGAGGGCAGCAAACTAGGGATGGCAAACCTCAGTTCTGTGGGCCAAATGTCCCCCCCCCCACCTTGACCTTTCTGTTTGGCTCCTGGACATGCCCCTTATCAGCTTTGCTTTGTACCCTCTTTGGATTGTTTTTGCCTGTCTGGAATGAATCCTTTTACAGTGGTACCTCAGGTTACATACGCTTCAGGTTACATACGCTTCAGGTCACAGACTCTGCTAACCCAGAAATAGTGCTTCAGGTTAAGAACTTTGCTTCAGGATGAGAACAGAAATCGTGCTCCGGTGGCACAGCAGCAGCAGGAGGCCCCATTAGCTAAAGTGGTGTTTCAGGTTAAGTACGGACCTCCAGAACGAATTAAGTACTTAACCTGAGGTACCACTGTATCTCCATCCGTCCATATTGCACACACAGATAGAGGATAGAGGGGGGGTGCATATGTTTCAGTTTGTGTGAAATTCGCATCCATTGCACCACCCACTTTTCCCTCTGGCTATGCCCCCTCAACCCCCCAGAAGTCAGTTGAGAAGGGAGAGTTACCTTCAGGCCAGAGAAACTTCCCCACCTCTGCTGCGAACCCTTTTCAGGCTGGCAGGTTTTGTTGCCTGATTTGCAGGAATGAAATAAAGTGATGAAATGGACGTGCTATTCTCCCTTGTTCTCCCCAGTCTCCAGCCACAATCTGTGGCCGCTCAAGAGGGCACCAGATATTGTTGTTGTTGTTGTTTTCATTTTCACTTGTACCCCGCCCACCTGACTGGGTTACCCCAGCCACTCTGGGTGGCTTCCAACGTATATAAAAACATAATTAAACATTAAAAATATTCCCTATGCACTCTCCCCAAGAACTTTGTCTCCCAAGTCTTGGCACACAGGGCTCCAGAATCTAGCTGCGAATATGCGTTCGCGTGATGTGCTTCTCTTAACACAAACGGTACGTTCTGTCTTTTGAAAGAGACAACTGTTTTCCACGCAGAATAGAGTCTGCTTTAATGTGCTCAATTTCTTTTCTTTTCTTTTTCCTTTTGGTTTTCCTTACAAGTCTCCTCTGAACAGGATGCTTTGAATGAGTAAACTTTGCCCAAGTTTTTTTTTTGTTTTGGTGGTGGGTGGATGGGGGGGGGGGCTTTCCAGTGGCAAGGAAACACATGTCTTTAATTGAGAGCAAATTCAAGACTTTCCAGGAATATGCAGCCGCCAGTCCTTGCCAGCGAGACGAAGACTGAGCTTTCTCTGGCTCCTGCCTGGAAGTCGAGGTCATTAATACGATAACGACACAAAAGAGGCCCGTTTTAGTCAGTCCCATTTCCCTGAAAATGTTATTTATCCCCCTGCGCAGTCCTCCCCACTGTTAAAGCAACAATCGCGGACTCAAGAGTGAGGCAATTTAAAAATGGCTGTATGCTAGTTTGTTTGGACTATACTAGACTATGACCTGGGAGAGGAGTATTCAGAAAGACGGTGGTTCTATCACCACTGTTGGAGGGAGTATATTTCTGAATACCACTGACTGGTAATCAGTCACAAGCAAGGCCTGTTGCTCTTGGGTCCTGCTTTCAGGATTCCCATGGGCATCTAGTTGGCGACTGCGAGGGCAGGATACTAAGCTAGCTGGACATTTGGCTAGAGCTCTTCTTACGAGACCAGGTTTCAAATCCTTACTTGGCCAGAGAGCTCACAGGGTCAGCCTAACCTACCTCACATGGTTGCTGTGAGGAATAAAAAGGGAGGGAGGCAAACCCCGAAGGGGGAAGTAAAATGGAGTATCCTAGAATTGGGCACGGCTGGTCGTCTGGAGCGCTGAAGAAAGGAGCCCTCGGCACTGCAACATTTTATTGCAGACCCCACTTGTTTTCTGCCTATTAATAGGGGTCTGTTTATGCAGTGCGTCTGTTGCACACACCTTTAGAAAGCATTTGGGAGCTTCAGCTAGCGCGGAGGTGAAACTTTAAAAGTCGGTGGACCTCTGTCACGGGAGAGGGGAATCACCTGAATCATTTGCTCGATGTTTTGATGAATTAAAAGTCTTTCCAAATGATACATACGTTTAGCATAAGAAGAGCCCTGTTCAGTTAGGCTAAATCTCTCAAGGGCTGTCGCATGGGAGCAAGCTTGTTTTCTCCTGCTCTGGAGGGTGGGACTCGAACCAATGGCTTCAAGTTACCAGAAATGAAATTCCGACTAAGTATTGGGAAGAAATTTCGGACAGTAAGAACTGTTTGATAGTGGAACGGACTCCCTTGTTGTGGGGGAGGAAGGGAAAGGAGATTGTTAGCCGCTTTGAGACTCCTTGAGGGGAGTGAAAGGCGGGATATCAAGTCCAAGCTATTATTTTTCTTCCCTGGGAAGGCAGTGGACTATCCTTCCTTGGGGGTTTTTAAGCAAAAGTTGGGGTTGGACTAGATGACCCTTGGTATCCCTTCCAACTCTGCAATTCTGTGATTCTAGTCTAGCATCCTGTTCTCACAGCAACCAACCAGATGTCTATCAGAAGCCTGCAAGCAGGACCTGGATACTACTGCATGTTTGATCAAAAGGGAAATCCTGTGATTTTTCAGCTTTCGACTTTCCTGGTTAGGTGTCCACTTCTGGGCCGTTAAACTACTTTTTATTTCTAGCTAGGCTCTGTTATTTCCAGAACTATCAACCTCAGAAGTTTTGGACTTGGGCCACTGTCTTGAAATCCGAGTGGAGGGTAAATCTACCACACCGCTTTCCTTAGTCTGTGGGACCCACTAAGACATGGGTAGGCAAACTAAGGCTCGCGGGCCAGATCAGGCCCAATTGCCTTCTGGATCTGGCCCACTGTCAGGGAACTGCCATCGGAAGGAAGGGAGGTGAAAGGACTCAGACAGGTTGGAAGAGATTCAGCAGCTGAAGAGGGAACCAGCAAGGGGAGAGAAGCTGAACTGAGGGAGGTGAAAGGGCTCAGACAGGTTGGAAGAGACTCAGCAGCGGAACAGGAAACCAGTAGGGGAGAGAAGCTGAACTGAGGGAAAGGGAGCTGGGGGATGGCTCAGAGATACTTCCAGCGAAAACAGTGGTGAGGTTTCCGGACCTCCTGTAGCGACACCCACTCCTCGCCGGAAACTGTCACGCAGAGAGTCCAGAAGACGTGTTTCCGTTAAGGAGCTTTTATGTTGGAAGCGATTACGAAAGCAACCACTGTCGGAATCTTCTAGTGACTAGAGGAGCCATGTCAGAGGGGCTCAGTCACAGACAGAGGTTTGTGGACTTGAACAAACTCTGAGGGAATACGATTTTACGCACAAGCAGCTCATAATCCCATCACAGCATTCCGACAGTCTTTGAACGCAGCTTGTGCAGGAGAAGGCGTAATGAGCAACCCAGCAGGAACCGGAGAAGCAGGGGCTGGAGCGGGTCCAAGCCTGGAAGAAAGGTACCGGGTGTTGGAGGTCCAGCTGGCGCTGCAGACGGCGAGGCTGGAGGAGAGGAGGGCGCAAGATGCAGACAAAAGGGAGAAAGCCACCCAGCTCGCCAGAAAGGTACCAGGATTGGTGCAGAAATTTGGGGGGGAGCCCAAAGACTATCATAGCTTTCGGACAGAAATGCAATATGCCCTCAATCTGCAGTTTGATGAGTTCCCTGATGAGGAATCACGAGTGGCTTTTGTGATTGGGCATCTTGAAAAGGGGGCGAGAGACTGGGTGAGACCCCTGATGGCAGCGCATAGTGACGTCCTAAAGGACACAATGAAGTTCTTTCGCGCCATGGATTTGATGTTTTCCAGCGATATTGAAAAGGGAGTGGTGCGCAGACAGTTAATGGCTTGCAAACAGGGGAGCCGATCTGTACGTGAGTACTGGACTGAGTTCACCATGCTGATACACAGATTGGGGTGGGACTTATCGGCGGAACCCATTCAAATGCTCTTTGAAGAAGGGCTTTCTTCGGCTGTGAAAGATGAACTTTCCCGGGCGCCCAGGGCGGAGTCTATGGACCAGCTGACCAAATCAGCGCTGGCCATAGGAGCGCGCCAGGAGGCGAGAGCATTGGAGAGGCGGGAAGGGAAAGGGGAACGTTGGAAGGAGTTCCGCATTCCAGACATTCCAGAGCCAACTGTCCCGCCGGCAGAGCCGATGGAAATCGGAACAGCGCGCGCGCGCAGTTTCAAAGCCCAGTGAGGGGGGACAGAAGGATGGAAAAGGCGCCCGGAAATGCTATCTCTGCCAACAGCCAGGGCACTTTGCCAGAGTCTGCCCCCAGAGGAAGGAATGGCAAGGGATGGTGGGAGCTGTGGAGGGAAGAGAGGAAAAATACCGGAGCAACTAAAAGCCAACGCCTGGCTGCCATTGTCGGGGCACAGCAGCCAGGCCAAAGAGCAGTGAAAGTGCCCACTCCAGAACCTCCTAAACCCGCCCTAGTGATAGAAGTGACACTAGAGCTGCCAAACGGACACCCTCTAAAGATTAAGGCGCTGTTGGACTCAGGCAGCTCCTGCAATTTCATGAGCAAAGAGTTTGCAGCTGAACACCAGATACAGACGCTCCCTTTAAGCAACCCCTGCAGGTAACCACGATCGATGGCAGGGAGCTGTTGGGAGGAGAAGTCAGCTTGCAGACCGTCCCAATGATAATGAAGGTGGCAAGGCACACCGAACTAATAGCATTTAATGTGGCCACCTTGGGAGGAGCTCCCATTATATTGGGGATGAGCTGGCTAGCGTTACATGATCCGCTGGTGGGCTGGCATCAAAGAGTGGTTTCTTTTGGGTCAGCACATTGCTTAGAACATTGCAAAGAGGGAAGGGTTTTGGCAGGGGCCCAAGCCACTCTAGCAGGGACTGAAGTGACGGAGAACGTGAAGGTACCACGACAATACGCAGATCTCCGCGACGTTTTCAGCGAAAGGGAAGCTGACCAACTACCACCGCATAGAGCCTTTGACTGTCAAATCAATTTGCTCCCTGGGGCACAGCTCCCTGTA